TTTTTTTTTAAGATTTTATTTATTTGAGAGAGAGAGAGAGAGAGAGTACATGACCTGGAGGAAGAGCAGAGGGAGAGGGAGAGAGATCACAAGCGGACTCTGTGCTGAGTGTGGAGCCTGACGCGGGGCTTGATCCTAGGACCCTGAGATCATGACCTGAGCCTAAATCAAGAGTCAGATGCTTAACTGACTGAGCCACCTAGGTACCCCTCCCTATTACTTCTTAAAAGATTGAATGAATTAATGACGATAAGGTGGATTGGTACCACAGGAAGTAGTTTTCATTAGATGTGTGTTTCATAGACTTAACTAGAAGTGGCTTTGAGAAATCATGTAAGAAGCTGACAAATAAGCCTGGATGTTTGGTGGTTGGACATCTCCCTGCACAGTACTTAGCAGAGGTAAAGAGCTGCTTATCGCTGTTTTCATCAGTTCACCTCCCTTCCTCAGCCTTCGTCAGAGGTTTGCTAGCTTGCTGGTATAAACTTCCTCTGAGTTGATAATACAAACTCAGGAACATTAGAACATGAGTCATGATTATTGTTTGATTATTGTTTGATTATTGTTTGATTATTATTTTGTTATTTTTAGACTTAAAATAGTAACAAAATTTTACTAATTTATGGTAGCATATTTAATGTTTTTCCTCAGTTCTGGAATAAGTAAGTAACTAGTTGCTGTTTAAGAGAACAAAAATCATATCTTGCTTCCACTTAGGTGAGAAGAGCCAGTATAGAAAAAGCAAGATTTTAGGAGATTGGGTATCTACTTAGAGAATTCATCATAAAAAGGTGTCCAGACCAAATATTGGAAAATCTTATATTTTATGATTTAATATCCCCTGTTGTGTTTACCTACAATATTTCATTTCAGACTCCTAGTAGGGGAATACAAACTTACAGTATAAGAACCTTTCCCCTAGAAAATCCACCATGGGGGAAGTATCCACTGCACAAGCCAGTGGTTTTGTCTGAAGCATTAGACATGTTATCGTGGCACAGGTGGGTAGTGTAGATATTCTCACGCACAGGGCCCACAGACGGACATTTCCCTGCAAGCTACGTCTCGTTTTTTTTCTTTTCCTGTATCTACTTCCTTCGAGCACTTGGTGACCCCTGCAGGCAATGCTTCGCCTCTCTGCTCATGCTGAGGCCTTGCTAGAGTGGCCTCTTGAAGGGCTGATTTGGGAGCCCGTGACCCGAAGTCCAGCCGTGGAAGCCCTTCTTCAGCCTGTCTGGTGCTGGTGGTCGTGCTGCCCTCCTCGGGGCTCTGATACAGACGGGAGCATTTTAAGCCTGTGGTAGGCATTACGGTGGGATCGAATGTAGCAGCGGACTCATTTGATAAGGGGGGCTGCGTCTCCTAAGTCTTCACTTTTGGGGGGCCTGGGTTGCGAAAAGCTCCAAAATATGGTACAGCAGGTGGGGGGGGGTAAGGGAGGGGACTGGGGGAGAGGAAGGGACTGGTTGTCTGCGATGAACCCGGTTGGCATGTCGTTGGGACTGGATTTATTTTACCAGATTTAATTTGAAGTAGACATTTTGCTCAGTAAAGCAATAAAATGGGAACATTATTCTTAGAGCACCCATGTTGCCCAAAAAGTATAGTCATTTGTCTTCTCCATCTGCTCACAGCAAAATAAGGATTCTTTTTGGATCAGTAATAACTTCAGTTCCTGAAGCTTCGGCATGTGCATTTACTACTGCTCGAATGCCTGAATTAGACGAGGGATGTAAATGTCAGTTATTGTTAACTGAGATTAATACGTTTCAGGCCGTCATTGTGGCATTAATGTAACTGTGATTTACTGTTTCAGTACTTCAGGCTAAAACAACTTACTAAGGAACAGTAATTTTGAGCTTTATAGCACTGGTTCTGAGAAGGAAGGTTGGTAGTGCGTTCTTGTTGGGAGCCCTCAGGATGTTTCTGATTTTCAGCAGAACATTCTATTTCTTTCACCAAAAGGAGAGTTTGAATGTATAATCTCAGGTTTGCTATAATGAGTTCTGATGACAGAGTTAAATACCTTGGCCAAAACTATAAATCAGTAGTTGAACAGGTTTCTGCAACTGATCATAAATCTCAAACTCCATATTTTAAGCACATTTATTTTTTTAGAGAGACAGCTAAGGGAGGGGCAGACCAAGGATGGGAATAAAATGTTATCTGAACTTGGAGTAATAGCCTGGAACCTCACATTTAAAATCTACTGATTTCCTTGCTACCTTTGGTCTAAAATGTTCTCTTTTTGGTATTTTAATAACCTCGCTTATTGTTTAAGCCAAGTTTGAATTTAATTCTTTTTTTTTTTTTAAGATTTTATTTATTTGACAGAGAGATAGCACAAGTAGGCAGAGAGGCAGGCAGAGGGAGAGGGAGAAGCAGGCGTCGGCTCGATCCCAGGACCCTGGGACCATGACCTGAGCCGAAGGCAGCCATTTAACCGACTTAGCCACCCAGGCGCCCTGAATTTAATTCTTAAACTACCAAGTTTAATTTCCAAAATGTCCAAATTTCTATTTGCTTGGTAACGATACCACTTTTTTAGAAATGTTTGTTTTGCCTATACTGTAAAAAAAATATTGTATGAGGTCGATATTTAAATAAGATGCCAATTGTGTGTGTTTTTTTATGAGATAAGGTTTTGGGGAAGCAAGGTAATGTTATGTCAGACCTCATTTTGGAAAATTAACTTAGTGTGAAACCCAGTAGTCAAATTCAGAACCAACTGAAACAATTCAAGTTTTTCCATGTTGGCAGAAGTCGCTTTTATTTTTAGTATCTGGCAGAGCAACAAATGCTTTGCATGTCAATTTAGTATTTTTTCGAGCCAACTGTTTATTCATTGGCTTTAAATTTACACTCTACTAAAGTCTTAGTCCTGACTTTCATGAAACAAATAGTAATATTTGGACAAAATATGTACACAGAAATCTTTTTCCAAAACCAAATGTAGATTGGTATTCGTGACATCAGTGCCTTTTAACATGGTGATGGATCAAAAAGTACTTTGAAAGTCTAAGGCATTTAGAAACCCAGGGCAATGAATTTCAAGGAATTAATTTTTATTATGAAGTAATCAGCATCTTTCTAGGTTTTCAGATTTAAATTAGTGAGAGACTTTCTGCTAGGAAGTGGAATATATGTTAGAGTAAATTTCAATGAACTATCAAAAGATTATTTTATCAGCGTTTATCTGTTCATGACCTCTGTAGCCTACTGAGACAATAAGACCCATTTTCTATTATTTTGAGGTTGGGATGCTCTCTGTAGATTTTGATAAAATGAGCAGAACTGCCTTCTTTAGTCTTTATAATTTTATCCCTCTTCCACACTGCTCACCTTGAAACACACACACACACACACACACACACACACACACACACACACACTCTCTCTCTCTCTCTCTCTCTCTCTCTCTCTCTCTCTCTCTCTCTC